TTTGACCCATTTCCCGATTTTTCCCGGACATGGCGAGTTTTTTGTGACACCCCAAGGTGTTCTTCTACCACCTCACAAAATATCAAGGGGGGTCGTCGGAGGAATTTTTTTTTCGTAATAGAGCTCATATTATGAGAATTTCACTCGCGGTCACTTTTTAGCCCTCGTCGAGGGCTTTGAGTGTAACCGACAGTTTTCCCTAAAGGTCAAGCCATTGACCTAGGAGCATGCAAAAAATTAGCGAGATATACTGAGCTTAAGTATCCTAAAGTCTGCGTTGAAATGACCCTCTGTTTTTCCCATAAAATACAAAGATTATATAGGGAAATACAACTGGTCAGTTTTGACCCCTTTACGAAGTTTTCCCAGATATGCCGAGTTTTTTGTGACACCCCAAGGTGTTCTCCTACCACCTCACAAAATTTCAAGGGGGGTCGTCGGAGGAATTTTTTTTTCGTAATAGAGCTCATATAAAGAGAATTTCACTCGCGGTCACTTTTTAGCCCTCGTCGAGGGCTTTGAGTGTAACCGACAGTTTTCCCTAAAGGTCAAGCCATTGACCTAGGAGCATGCAAAAAATTAGCCAGATATACTGAGCTTAAGTACCCTAAAGTCTGCGTTGAAATGACCCTCTGTTTTTCCCATAAAATACAAAGATTATATAAGGAAATACAACTGGTCAGTTTTGCCCCTTTTACGAAGTTTTCCCAGATATGCCGAGTTTTTTGTGACACCCCAAGGTGTTCTCCTACCACCTCACAAAATTTCAAGGGGGGTCGTCGGAGGAATTTTTTTTTCGTAATAGAGCTCATATAAATAGAATTTCACTCGCGGTCACTTTTTAGCCCTCGTCGAGGGCTTTGAGTGTAACCGACAGATTTCCCTAAAGGTCAAGCCATTTACCTATAAGCATGCCAAAACTGAGCCAGATGTAAAGAGCGTAAGTGCCATAAAATCCGTTTTGAAATGACCCTCTGTTTTCCCCATAAAATACAAAGATTATATAGGGAAATACGACTGGTCAGTTTTGACCCATTTCCCGATTTTTCCCGGACATGGCGAGTTTTTTGTGACACCCCAAGGTGTTTTTCTACCACCTCACAAAATATCAAGGGGGGTCGTCGGAGGAATTTTTTTTTCGTAATAGAGCTCATATAATGAGAATTTCACTCGCGGTCACTTTTTAGCCCTCGTCGAGGGCTTTGAGTGTAACCGACAGTTTTCCCTAAAGGTCAAGCCATTGACCTAGGAGCATGCAAAAAATTAGCCAGATATACTGAGCTTAAGTATCCTAAAGTCTGCGTTGAAATGACCCTCTGTTTTTCCCATAAAATACAAAGATTATATATGGAAATACAACTGGTCAGTTTTGACCCCTTTACGAAGTTTTCCCAGATATGCCGAGTTTTTTGTGACACCCCAAGGTGTTCTCCTACCACCTCACAAAATTTCAAGGGGGGTCGTCGGAGGAATTTTTTTTTCGTAATAGAGCTCATATAAAGAGAATTTCACTCGCGGTCACTTTTTAGCCCTCGTCGAGGGCTTTGAGTGTAACCGACAGTTTTCCCTAAAGGTCAAGCCATTGACCTAGGAGCATGCAAAACATTAGCCAGATATACTGAGCTTAAGTACCCTAAAGTCTGCGTTGAAATGACCCTCTGTTTTTCCCATAAAATACAAAGATTATATAAGGAAATACAACTGGTCAGTTTTGACCCCTTTACGAAGTTTTCCCAGATATGCCGAGTTTTTTGTGACACCCCAAGGTGTTCTCCTACCACCTCACAAAATTTCAAGGGGGGTCGTCGGAGGAATTTTTTTTTCGTAATAGAGCTCATATAAAGAGAATTTCACTCGCGGTCACTTTTTAGCCCTCGTCGAGGGCTTTGAGTGTAACCGACAGATTTCCCTAAAGGTCAAGCCATTTACCTATAAGCATGCCAAAACTGAGCCAGATGTAAAGAGCGTAAGTGCCATAAAATCCGTTTTGAAATGACCCTCTGTTTTCCCCATAAAATACAAAGATTATATAGGGAAATACGACTGGTCAGTTTTGACCCATTTCCCGATTTTTCCCGGACATGGCGAGTTTTTTGTGACACCCCTAGGTGTTCTCCTACCACCCCACAAAATATCAAGGGGGGTCGTCGGAGGAAATTTTCTTTCGTAATAGAGCTCATATAAAGAGAATTTCACTCGCGGTCACTTTTTAGCCCTCGTCGAGGGCTTTGAGTGTAACCGACAGTTTTCCCTAAAGGTCAAGCCATTTCCCTATATGCATGCCAAAAATTAGCCAGATATATTGAGTTTAAGTACCCTAAAGTCTGCGTTGAAATTACCCTCTGTTTTTCCCATAAAATACAAAGATTATATAGGGAAATACAACTGGTCAGTTTTGACCGCTTTACGAAGTTTTCCCAGATATGCCGAGTTTTTTGTGACACCCCTAGGTGTTCTCCTACCACCCCACAAAATATCAAGGGGGGTCGTCGGAGGAAATTTTTTTTCGTAATAGAGCTCATATAAAGAGAATTTCACTCGCGGTCACTTTTTAGCCCTCGTCGAGGGCTTTGAGTGTAACCGACAGTTTTCCCTAAAGGTCAAGCCATTTCCCTATATGCATGCCAAAAATTAGCCAGATATACTGAGTTTAAGTACCCTAAAGTCTGCGTTGAAATGACCCTCTGTTTTTCCCATAAAATACATAGATTATATAGGGAAATACAACTGGTCAGTTTTGACCGCTTTACGAAGTTTTCCCAGATATGCCGAGTTTTTTGTGACACCCCTAGGTGTTCTCCTACCACCCCACAAAATATCAAGGGGGGTCGTCGGAGGAAATTTTTTTTCGTAATAGAGCTCATATAAAGAGAATTTCACTCGCGGTCACTTTTTAGCCCTCGTCGAGGGCTTTGAGTGTAACCGACAGTTTTCCCTAAAGGTCAAGCCATTGCCCTATATGCATGCCAAAAATTAGCCAGATATACTGAGTTTAAGTACCCTAAAGTCTGCGTTGAAATGACCCTCTGTTTTTCCCATAAAATACAAAGATTATATAGGGAAATACAACTGGTCAGTTTTGACCGCTTTACGAAGTTTTCCCAGATATGCCGAGTTTTTTGTGACACCCCTAGGTGTTCTCCTACCACCCCACAAAATATCAAGGGGGGTCGTCGGAGGAAAAATTTTTTCGTAATAGAGCTCATATAAAGAGAATTTCACTCGCGGTCACTTTTTAGCCCTCGTCGAGGGCTTTGAGTGTAACCGACAGTTTTCCCTAAAGGTCAAGCCATTTCCCTATATGCATGCCAAAAATTAGCCAGATATACTGAGTTTAAGTACCCTAAAGTCTGCGTTGAAATGACCCTCTGTTTTTCCCATAAAATACAAAGATTATATAGGGAAATACAACTGGTCAGTTTTGACCGCTTTACGAAGTTTTCCCAGATATGCCGAGTTTTTTGTGACACCCCTAGGTGTTCTCCTACCACCCCACAAAATATCAAGGGGGGTCGTCGGAGGAAAAAATTTTTCGTAATAGAGCTCATATAAAGAGAATTTCACTCGCGGTCACTTTTTAGCCCTCGTCGAGGGCTTTGAGTGAAACCGACAGTTTTCCCTAAAGGTCAAGCCATTTACCTATAAACATGCCAAAAATTAGCCAGATGTAAACAGGGTAAGTGCCCTAAAATCCGTTTTGAAATGACCCTCTGTTTTTCCCATAAAATACAAAGATTATATAGGGAAATACGACTGGTCAGTTTTGACCCATTTCCCGATTTTTCCCGGACATGGCGAGTTTTTTGTGACACCCCAAGGTGTTCTCCTACCACCTCACAAAATATCAAGGGGGGTCGTCGGAGGAAATTTTTTTTCGTAATAGAGCTCATATAAAGAGAATTTCACTCGCGGTCACTTTTTAGCCCTCGTCGAGGGCTTTGAGTAAGACCGACAGGTCTGCCCTACGGTCAAGCCATTTACCTATAAACATGCCAAAAATTAGCCAGATGTAAAGATGGTAAGTGCCCTAAAATCCGTTTTGAAATGACCCTCTGTTTTTCCCATAAAATACAAAGATTATATAGGGAAATACGACTGGTCAGTTTTGACCCAATTCCCGATTTTTCCCGGACATGGCGAGTTTTTTGTGACACCCCAAGGTGTTCTCCTACCACCTCACAAAATTTCAAGTGGGGTCGTCGGAGGAAATTTTTTTTCGTAATATAGCCCATATAAGGCGCCGGTCAGTCGAGGTCAGTTTTGACCCCTTCTCCGTAGACTTTTCGGCCAACCGTCACCGGCCTTCGTGTTCTATTGCCCGAAGGCACCATCGTGCCAAATTTGACGCGCCTGCGGCGCCGGGAAGTGCCCTATCGGGCACTTGACCACTTTGCTTTATATATATAGATATATATATATATATATATATATATATATATATATATATATATATATATATATATATATATATATATATATATATATTATATAAAGAAAACAAGTCCCATATAATCCATGTATGATGAAGTGCTATGGAGTGAAACGTTAAAAACTCGAAATTTCAAGTGATTTTTGTGCATGATATTACAATGCTTCCTCTATACTATCTAAACGAGAAAGTAAAAATGAATTTTGCAAGTCAAAATTATATTCTCTATAGCAGCTTATTTGACAGATTTTTTGGCCTCATGCGATCAGATTCTATTGCGACTTACTTTTAATCGTATCTGAGGTTATTAAGATCCCATTAAGAAAAGGGTAACAAGTGGTGACATCTGATAAAAGCAGGATTTGCTCTCTACATACGGCAATGTAGTGAAAAATCAGTCAATATAGGCTACATGCTTTTTCCATAAAAACTCATTGGCTAATATGCTAAACACCTATATACAATTTTAAAATATAATATACGAAAACTTATTTTACACGTTTTAGTTTTAAATTATCACAATGGTAAAATATTTTATAATACAAGTACCAGGTATAAGAAACTGACTTACGATTATTTAATAAGACGTTACAAATGTAGAAAAAATGACTGTCCTCGTTGTTTGGGTAATCTTGTTGTGTTGGCTGATGGTAGTCTAAGCGGATCGGCAGTCAGCGGTTCATCTAAAAAGTGAGTCAAGAGGCGAGGAGGGCTAGGCGAGTTGGACGTAAAAACAGGATGTGCGGATTTATCTTGTGACTCAGTTGGGAAAACCCAGTACAAACCAGTGGCGGAACTAGAAAAAAAGGGCCTCCACGCAAAAAGAATAATTCTGGGCCCCCATATATATATATATATATATATATATATATATATATATATATATATATATATATATATATATATATATATACATAACACAAACATTGGATACTCGTTTCTAGCCTGAATTCTTTTAAAAATTTAAACATATTACAACATGTCATGTGTGTGAGTGCATTAGTCTGTATTGAATTTTCTTTTTTAAGATTTAGAATTAGTCTATTCAAAATGTTTGCTGTAATACTGCCTACCCGCTAAGTTTCAGCCGGTCAAAAGAATATAAAACGTGAAAGCTTTGTATGTGTAATGGTTTCTCGTGTTATGTTTATTTTTATGTTTTTTTTTGTATTTATATTATTTGTTTCAAATATATTTCCTTTTTATGCTATGTCATTCTTTAGTATGCATTTCTTAGAAAATAATAATTAAGAAAAGTTATTGCTTTTTAATTTGTTTAGTACAAATATATTAAAAGGAGCTTAGGAGCACCCCTATTTAACTATTTAAAAAAGGGAAATAAGTCATGGAAGTGTTTTGAACGTTTGCCTATCTTTAACACTACAGCTAAGGCATATATTTTTTTACACAACAGCATGTGTTAGCAACTGTATAACATTACTGCTGTAGTAGATCTGTTTGTTATTTACAAAAGCTTTTACCGTCAAGTCAAAAATGCAAGAAAATTATTTTTTAACAATAAAAAATTTATTATGGTCGGCTATGGGCCCCTAAATGGCATGGGCCCTCCGCATTGCGGGGTCTGGCGGCACTGTAGTTCCGTCCTTGGTACACATTTACTTCCCTTTTGCCCAGTGTCCAGCTGCGCACAGTTTAATATAAAGTTCAATTAATCTAGTCATATTAACATAGGGCTTGGTTGTCAAATAGTCTACAAACTGTCAAACTTTCAAACACTCTTATTGTCGATAAATTTTCATCTGAAGCATTCATTTTAATTTACCGTAGATTATTACCCAATCAAATATTGCTGAAGTTTATACTTTCACTCATATTTTATATTTTTGTTCTGTTCATGTGTAGCCTGCCTTTTATGCAAAAGAGTGTGTAGACTTCTTCAAGTTTCATTAGATCAGAACGTTAATCATCCAAACCATTCAGTCATGTCATCAGTAACATCAGCTTATATTAAACTGTTTTATTCTTGCTTCTATACGCCTACAAACCAACTCCAAAATAAAAGCTTCTAAATAGAGCTGGAGTGACTCATTTTCCCTGCTATTTTTTGATACTGACGTTTAAAAGCTATTTAAATATTTCAAGCTTATGTATAGTAAGGGCTTGAAAAAACAAAACCTGGAAAGCAACATAAGAAAAGTTTAGTGCTTGTAAATGTGGTAAGAGATTTGACTGACTGAATTAGTCTTCAGTATAAAGACATATTTTAAAAATTTGTAGTACGAAGTAGACTTCACTTGTTTCTGTGACCGCGGCATATAAAGATTATAAAGAGATAGTGTGGTCAGCACTATGTCCAGCCGCCTTTACATACCCTAACGTAAGTTAGGTACCCATCAGAGCTAGGTGGACCGACTAGAACCCGGATTCAAACTCGAAATTATTTTTTTCTATTATATTCGGGAATTTTATTTGTGTGCAATCTTACAGAGATTACTCACCACATAATGTGGCGTACGTAACGTGTACAACCGTTTAGCTCAACAACCCGGATGTTTGAACTATTTTTAGAAACTATTCTTCTCGATGTTAACTAGAGCTGGCTGGTTGTGTACATTTGAAACTTACATGTGAATATAAGAGTTAAATAAAGCAACGGATAATTTATCTTCTTACAACTACTTTCATGTATACGTTTTCTTAATACAAGCTTAAAAAAATGAAATACATTCACTAGTAGCCCACAGTCCCACTACATCATAGTAAGCCAACAAGTGGCTTCCATACAACTCGTCCCAGGGCTAGTTTCTACAACCGTCTCAAAATAAACACATAACTACATTGTAAGTAGGGACAAAATATGTGTAACGTTAGAAAATGTCGATATGGTAGCCTACTTGTAGCTAAATTTAGTAAAGCATAAATCTCCAAGTTATATTTTTTTTCAGATAGAAAGTACAAGGATACACACCCAACATCAACGTCACTTAACCAGATTTGGCTGGTTTTTGGGAGTTCCCAAAAGTGTTATATATATTTTCTCATTGCGTTACTAATATTTTTTTTACACTATTCTCTCCTCCGAATTTACAACATCCTGATTTTAGTATTCCCGTAAATCTTTTTATAGACACAACCTTCGACCGGTCTGATTGACTTGTTTGTTTCATTTACAATTACGTTTATTGTTTTATGAAAATATACGTTAAATTATTTTAAATTAAACTAGACTTACCCGTCATCCCTTGGATGACTGTGGGTTTCGGGGGTCATCCATAAATGACATCACGTCTGTGACTTATTATCACAAAATAACCAGACCCCATATTCAAAAACACGTTTTTATCTTTTAAAATCACTGATTTCGCCTGAGCAAATGTCTGACCACAAATATCCCTTCATATATTGATGTCACATAGCTAATCAAACATAGATTATATACTATAATGAAGGTCTGAAATAGTTTAGTATATAGAAACTCATTATTATCTAAATCTAGATAGAATTATCTATATTCTATGACTGGTTTGCTTAAGTCTAATTTTTACGTAGCTCTTGCTAGATCTAGATTAGACCTATTCTAGATCTAGATAGATAGATCACAAAGATTTATATCAAGTATTTAAGGACTATAGTAGTTTAATAAAGAAACTCAAAAATGTATTATGATTTCAAAATCGATAGTATTTTTAACTAATTAGTCTTTGGTTTGACCTAGAATCTAGATCTAGATCTATAAATAACTTTCTTTGACAGATTGTAGAGCTAGAGAAATTTATTGTAAAACTAAATGAAAAAGACAGTTGAAAATTGATATAAGTGTTGGAACGTAATAAAAACAGCAAACGGGCGTATTGTTAAAGTTATAGCCGCAAGAAAATTACCTTTATAACGCATTAAAGATCTGAATAAGAAACGAAATCTTGTATTGTAGCCGCCATTTATTGCACCAAAGTAAAGTTGTTTTTCTAAACTTTTAAAAGTAATGTGGTTAATCTACCAATGAATAAATCAATAAATTAATTAACGTCTTTAAATAAATTTGTGATTAACAGTCTGCCTGAAAGCAAAAATTGTTCAGTACCTACATACTATTTTACAGCTCTCCACATGGAACAGATTCTCTCAATTACCCAATCACACAAACAAAAAAACCCAAAAAAAAACAACAACAAAAAATATTCAAACATGTAAACAAACTTGAGTTTTAGTAGTATATAGATTGATAGATATAATACAATCTTAGAGTGCATTCTATCTATACAACATTACATATATCAACATGACAAGTTACAACATAATATAGCTGCCAGTAGAATCACAAAAAAAAATAATTAATTCAATGTTCGTTTTAATTTTCTCCTGTTGCAAAGTTTACAGAGTGCCTTATGGTATGTGCACATAGTGTTGGGTATAGTGTATTGTTTTGTAGGCATTGATGTGACGTATTGTTAGGTTTTATATCGTAATGTGGTAAATGTATATGTACGTGGCATATATTTTATTACATTTGACACCTACCTTGGGTTACGAGTCAGAGGGGGAATATTTTGTAATTTATTTGCTTGCGGCCCCCGTGAGACTGTAACTGTTTATGTATTTTTTATGCTCATCTGTGAGCCATGTTCCCCTTGTTCCCATGGCATGTGACCTCTGGGACTCTTGGTAGTTGTACCTCTGTTCGCGGCATTCAAAACCCAGGCTCTGAATGACTAGGACCGTTCAACTGTTTAACTTGGTTCTGTAGACCTAAAGAAGGACTATATTACTGTACCACTACTGTACATTAATGTACATTACTGAACAAATACTGTACATGGATTTGCTGTATACGGATTTGCCGTATATGCAATTAAGACAGGATCTATCTGAAAAAGCATCATGTTGTTTGTATGTTATCTCGTAGTGTCAGCCTTTAAAAATACTACACCTCAGTAGGTGACATCACACCACATCCCCACCGAGGCAGTGTGACATACATTTTAGGGTTGAGGGGGGGGGGGTCAAGTCGATTGGTTGGTGCTGGGTCACGTGCTGAGAAGTCACTTGGATCTGGCCAGGAGTTTTATGAGAATTGGTTTAGTGATCGTTTGTTGTTTCTTTAGTATCCTTGTCAGTTGTTACATGATCCAGTCATCTCCTTCTTTGTTACTGAATATTGTAATCTTTAAATTGTTATTCATGATTAGTTAACTAACCATGAAAATTATATTATTTTGATACGAATCAGGGGCGGAACTACAGTGCCGCCAGACCCCGCGACGCGGGGGGGGGGGGGGGGGCAGACCAATTGGGGGCCCAAAAATCCTGGCTAAATTATTTTTAAAAAAATGTAAAAAAAAATTAGGTGGAGGTCGAGTTATCTTTCTTCTACAGTTACAAACAAACACGATAGTCGGCAAACGTCTTTGAGAAAAATGCACTGACTATAGCTCGAGAGACCGCCAGACATATAGACAACTTCAAAGACGAAGCATCTGAAATTTGTCTGTGCCGGTACGCTTTGAAATCGGGCTGGGGAAATGTTACGGCGAGTCGACTATCCTGGTCTTCTAGACGATCGGAAAAAGTCGGCACTATTGATGTAGATGTTTATCGGCGCTTTCTTGTCCCCTTCCCTTCCCAACTCTCTCCCCCTCCCCCCTACCCCTCACTTCTACCCCTCACCACACCCTTACTCTTACAATAAGATGTAATGGATAGATTAACGAAC